AAGACGAAAGTGAACAGAGATGAGCGGAAGGAGCAAAAAAAGCCGGGAGGAACCAAGGGAAACCGGGAGGAACCAAGGGGAACCGGGAGGAACCAAGGGAAACCGGGAGGAACCAAGGGAAACCGGGAGGAACCAAGAGAACCGGGAGGAACCAAGAGAACCGGGAGGAACCAAGGGAAACCGGGAGGAACCAAGGGAAACCGGGAGGAACCAAGGGAAACGGGAGGAACCAAGGGAACCGGGAGGAATCAAGGGAAACTGGGAGGAAACAAGGCCTCCCCCCTGAATGTGGTTTTCACTGAACCAAATACAGTAATAACCAGCAGGAACCGAGAGGAATTGGGAACACACCAAGCTGTGTATCAACAGTGACACCTGATGATTCGTTGGACTTTTAGTTTCTCTGATTTTCTCTTTAAGAACCTTGTGTGTGTAGAGCAGTTGCCTTGTGATGGGAGGTTGTTGGTTCGATTCCTGCTTTATCCTGTGACATGGTGATGTGAGGCTGAGCAAGGCACTGAGCCTCAGGCTGCTCACTGATCTGTGTAAAGAACTTTCAGCGGTCAAAATGATTTGAAAGCGCTGTGGACGTTGAGTCCATTCACCGTTTTAATTTGAATTATTTTATGTATCAACTCTTTGTTTTGTTTTGTTCAGATCTTTGTGTCCAGCTGTTCTATGAAGGGCTAAATAAATCCATAAATGTGGCATCGTTATGTTTCCGTACCTGCTGTTTTTCCTCCTGTGGAATTCACCGTTTCTCTCTCTGGACTCAGATGGACTCTCCTCTCCTCGCCGTCTGTCTGGTCGTCGTGGTCCAGCTGATACCGGTACAGGCTGCAGCCGTCGGCACTGCCGACGCTGCTGCGCCGCATTGGGCCGGACGGCTCGAACACCGACGAGCCCCCGGACCGTGACCGGACCAGCTCAGCCCGGTCCACCCCGGCCAGCTTCTCCAGAGCGTTCATCATCCGGCCGGAGAAATCCTCCAGCTGGGCCAGGCGCAGGTCCACCGTCTGCAGCGACGCCTTCATGGAGCGCTGCCGCTCGTTCACCTCTTCCAGCCGCATCGCCATGTTCTCCACCCTGGAACGGCCAGAGACACTCAGCAGCTGAGGGGTCAAAGGTCAACTACCAGCTCAGAGCTACTGCTGTACAGGAGATCAGAGGTCAGTGGATGCTGACCTCTCAGCTGTGACTCTGATTCGCTCGTTGTTGGAGGACTGCTTCTCGTCTTCTTTCTCTCTGAAGTATTCCTCCACACATTGCTCCTCAAACTCGTACAGACTCTTGATCTCCTCTGCGTTCAGAACCAGCTCTGATGAAGCAAAACACAGAAATCTGGTTTTTACAAGCTGTTACTGTCATGCGGAGGATCAGATGTTCTGATGAAGTTGTAGATTTAATGAAAAAGAAAAAACAATGCTTAAAAAGAATAACAGGGAACGCAGGGAGCCAGAGAAGAACAAAACCCACATTAACCAGGAAGCAAAAAGACAGCAAAGAGAACAAGGAAGTCACAGGAAATAAGGGAATTAAACTGGATTAAACAGGAGGAACCAGCAAGGAGGAACTGAGAATGAGGTGCCTAAGTACTGGATGGCGAATGGTGAAACTTGTAAGTAAGTTTTGTCAGCCCATTAGTCCTGGGTTGAGCTAACTATGAAATTAATCTATCAAAAATAAGCAGACATAAGAAAACTAGAGTAACTAAGAAAAGGACTAGAAACAAGTAATAAAATAAGGAGGAACTGAAGTAAAACTAGAAACAAGGCAGAACTAATAGAACTACAGAACACAAAGGAAACCTGAAACAAACTGAAAGTTCCTGACCGTTTCTGGATCCTATGCAGTAACTTCACTGAACAAAGAAGAAACGTTGAAACCAGAAACTCAGTTCATGTTAAAGGAAGACCTAAAGATCCTAAAGCTGCTTTTATTCTCCATCAGCTGAGCCTGGTAAACATGCAGTCCACACTCTGAAGTCGCTTTCCCCTGTTCTGACGTAAATATTTACCCACTGCATCAAACTGTTTCATGAGTTTTACTTTTAATACCATTGATCTGGAAAAGATAAGCAATAAGATTCCAGTCACCCGGCACACTGACTCTTCACCCTACTGGCCTCTGGGAGGCGCTACAGGAGCCTCCTGACGGCTGTTTTCTCATACACAAACAGCAACACATGGACAGAAACACCAATTCTCTGCCTGCACAGATGATCTACTGTGAGTTGTCTGTTTATGCGCATACTTACAGTTTAAGCATGTTTTAAATATTTTTGTTATTTTGTAACTATGTTTTTCATGTCTTTTAATTTTTTTCATTTTAGTCTTTAACAGAATTTACCATATTTTTCTCAGCATCATTTCAAATCAAATTGTATGAGTTTACTCTTGTCGAGTCATTTCTTGGACGGTGAGGAATGTATCCATCTTTCTATAAACTCACTGTGCACATAGCATACTAGCTAGTGGTGGCTCCTGAATTTATGTGTGAGTGGTTCTGAGTTCCTGGCCCAGCGCCTGAGTCTGCAGCCATGGTTTCTTTACCAGCAGCTGATTAATTTCTCTGTTTTCTCAGGTGTGACGACCTTCAGGTCCCCAGTGGTTTGTATTTCTTACGGAGCCGCCGCGCGCGGTCGTCCCGCTCCCCCTCTGGCTTTCGCCTGCAGGTGCAGCACAGCCTCTTCAGGACGATGTAGATGTGGGGGAAGACGATGAGGGGCGGCGGCAGGATGGGGCGGTCGTGGAAGGTCATGATCAGCTGGTACCGCTGGAACTTCCACACCTGGTTGGAGATGGACTTCACCTCAAAGAAGGTGTTGCTGTGGAAGAGACGGTTGCGATAGCAGCAGTGTCTGGAAATGTGTCTGAAATATCTATGCTCCATGTAAAAGCATCTGGTCTGACTGAAAGCAGCGTCTGGCTGCAGCCTTCTGTAGATCCTGTTGGATCTGCAACCTGCTGAAGTGTGAACTAACTTGAAGACGGCGATGAGCAGGTTGACCAGGAGGATGTTGGCCACCAGCAGGTAACACGCCATGATGGCTGGAGTCAGCCAGGCTCCAGGAATACATGGAGGAAGCTTCTTCCCATCTTCATCATACATGTTGTCTCCACATGGAGCTGAAAACAGACGGATACGTTAGTGCCAATCCCTCTACAGTCTTCACGACTTCATTGATGGACTGGAGGTTCCCTGCAGCTGAAGGCCAATCTGTCCTCAGGAACATAGCCCGGTTCTGCTTGTTCTCATCAGAACCATCAGTCACCTGACTTCTCTCTGGACTCACCTTCTCAGCTAGCATCTTTCCAGCCATTGGTCTCTTTCTACCCCCGTTGGCCCCTGCGTGGTGCCGTAGGTGTTCCTTCAGGCATCCCAGAACCAGAGGCTTACCGAGCAAACACCTGAGACTATTTAAAGCCTCCATGTAACTTTGAGCTAGATGGAAGTCAGAGTACCTGGAGAAAATCCCCACATGAAAAGGGAGAACAAACTCCACCAATCGATTCCTTTGAACGGTTCTTTACCGGAACAAAAGTCTTTGCTTGATATGATGATCTTCACACACGGCAGAAGCCGTTACTAAAGTATTTAATTTAAAATTAGATTTATTTAATTGGTGAATAAATAAAACACATGTAAGGGTCTTTGGGTCTGTTTGGGTCAGTGTCATGGCGACTCTGATGCAGGAGGATGAGGAGGGTCTCGGCGCGCTACCTTCCTCTTGCTTGTGTCTCTGGATAATATTCATACGGTTCCCTCACCATAACAGATTACTGCTGGAGTCTTAATTATTATGACAACATTTTTTGTTTCTACCAAAGAAACTCAGGTTAACTTTTTTCTCAACTGCTTGTTACATTTTGTTTCTATTTTGAAAATAGCACTAAAATGTTAATACAAACACTAGGAATATTTAACATTTATGTTTCTATACTTTCCCCTCCATGGGCTGCCACATTATTGTGGTGAAGGGGTTTCAGTGTCCCACAGATCGAAGCTGTGCTGTCGGGGGCCCCATGCCCCTGGTAAGGCAGACACGTCCTAGGTGAGGAGCCAGACACAACGCAGCCCGACGACCCCTTATGATGAGTGAGAAGCTTGGGTTCAGTGTTCCCTTGCCTGGACGGGGGTCACTGGGGCCCCACCCTGGAGCCAGGCATCTCACAAGGGGGAAGCAGTACAGCACCAACACTTTTTACCGCCAAGGCTGCCCTTTGTCACCGATTCTGTTTTGTACTTTCATGGACAGAATCTCTGACCAGCCGAGGTGTTGAGGGGATCCGTTTTGGTGGCCTTAGGATCGCATCTCTGCTTTTTGCGGATGATGTGGTCCTGTTGGCTTCATCAGGCCGTGATCTGCAGCTCTCGCTGGAGCAGGAGATCGACAGGCGGATTGGTGCAGCATCTGCCGTGAAGCAGGCGCTGTACCGGTCCGTCGTGGTGAAGAGAGAGCTGAGTCAAAAAGCGAAGCTCTCGATTTACCGGTCGATCTTCGTTCCCACCCTCATCTATGGCCATGAGCTTTGGGTCATGACCTAAAGAACGAGGTCCCGGATACAAGCGGCCGAAATGGGTTTCCTCCTCAGGGTGGCTGGGCTCTCCCTTAGAGAGAGAAGCTCGGTCATCCGGGAGGGACTGAGAGTAGAGCTGCTGCTCCTCCACGTCGAGAGGAGCCAGTTGAGGCTCAGCCATCTGGTCAGGATCCCTCCTGGACGCCTCCCTGGTGAGGAGTTCAGGTCCCACCGGGAGGAGGGGAGACCCAGGACACACTGAGGGACGATGTCTCTCTGCTGGCCTGGGAACGGTTTGGGGTTCCTGGAGGAGCTGGAAGATGCTGGAGAGGGAAGACTGGGCCTCCCTTCTTAGGCTGCTGCCCCTGCGACCCGACCCCGGATAAGAGGAAGAAAATTATGGATTTCTATATTTTATAAAAAATATAGATTTTTTTTTCTACTATGCAAACTGCATTAATACCCATGATTCAAATTTTTGGGTGAACTTCACCCTCAAGAACTATTAATATGAAATTATATTAGAAATGAAATGGCTTTAAAATGCAGATCATTTCAGCGATCCTGAAGATTGGGGAGCCAACATTAGTGAAGTCCCATCACTAATGTTGGCCTAACTAGGATTTGAACCAAAGACCTTCCACCTATGAAGAAACCGGACAACATTAACTCTTTGGATTTCAGATTTTCTCCCACTTAAAAGTCTTTTCTGTAATATTCAACTCTCTTTATAATTCGGTGTGAAGAAAAGTTTCTGTTTGTGACAAACTTGAATTAGAAAAATATGGTGGTTGTGTAACGTTTAGCTCTGCAGAACCGGAGGATGGAAATTAAGTTCAAAGCTGATCAGCTACAAGAATGGAGTAGGTTAAAGATATGCTCTTATTTTGAAAAGCCCGTGTTTGATCAGCATGACAGACTGAAGCATAAATTGTCTGGAACAAGTTGATTACATGGAACAAAGAGTGAATGAGACTGGACTGAGAAGCTTTGGCCACAGTTTGACAGAAAACGGCAGAAATGTTCATATTTGCTTACGGTTAATTTCCATGGCATAAACTGTCCATCGGCAGCAGAGGAGAGGCAGAAGAAACGCATCATTAATCTGAGACAAACACCAACAACTCACACTTTAAACCAGGGGTGTCAAACGTACGGCCCGCGGGCCGGAACCTGCCCGCCGAACGATTTAGTCCGGCCCGGGGGCTAAATGCATTTTCATTATTCATGTAAAAACATATACTTCGTTTAATTGAAAATCTGCAGTTCCTATACTGTCCACGAGGGGCGCTGTGTTTTATCCAGAGCACACAACATGATGCAACACTGCAACGGAACTAACAGCAGATGGCAGCACTGAGCTTCAGGTTCTGTAAAGTTGGATTCTATGCTTTACCAGCTTTTCATTTTGGCCCTGGCAACCTCATATTTCTCGTGCATGCTAACATATGTGCATGTTATGTATGCAAGTTTTTCTATATGTATGCATTTTATGCATCAACAAATGTACTTAATCAAATGTCTGTTTAAAACAGCTGACACTTAAGATTTCAAATGTGTGAAGCCAGATAATTTGTTCAAATTGCTTCCCAGATGTTGAAAATTGATTTTAAATCTTTTCTTAATTTCTGTCTGTTGTATTTTGTGATGCAGGACAGGGTTTTTAAGTTCCAAAAACTGTGAACAAATGTTTTGAAACCTTGTACAATCACTGAGATCAGTTCTTATGCATAATCCACTTAAATAAATGCTTAACCTAGTAAAAGTATTGTTGAAATTGCAGATACCTTTCTTAAAAACTGAGATTATTCATAATATATTTTGTAAAAGTGAAATTTGTTTAATATAAAAATCATCAACAAGTCCTCTTTTATTGGTTCTATTTAATCTTGCAATGAATTTACTTTTGTGGCCCCCTGCAGATCAGATTAAGCTGTATGCGGCCCCTAAACCAAAATGAGTTTGACACCCCTGCCTTAAACCAATTTAGCAATTTAGAGCAAAGTGTCTTCCAGGTGAAAATGAGGCAATGCTGCCACCTGCTGTCCATGTTTGCATCAACATCAAGAATATCTTCTGCTAAATCGTGGTGGAGCTGCCAAATACTTCTGGAGAACTTTGTGATCAGATGAGGAAGGAAATGTTGTTCAGGTGGAAAAACTTTGAAGCTCTGCAGACAGATTCACCTGATTTTAGCTGAAAGCACCTGGTGGATGAATCTGGGGTTGTTTGGGTTCAAAGTTTGGATTTTTTTTTGTTGCTCTGTGTTTTTTAGTCTCTTATTCTGTGATTAGATCAGCTTGTTTACGCTCCCTCTGCACTTTGGTATTTTAGATGGTTTATTTTTTATGTCTAGTTATTCTTTGTTACAGTGAGATTCATTTTGTTTGCTTACTCGCCCTTTGTGCCATTCTGTCTCTCTCTCCTCACCTGCAACCTGTTAGCCAATCAGCTCGCTCCATCGTTCTTGTCCTCGTCACTGGTTTGTTCAGCTCTGGTTCCCACTTTTTTTTTGTAAGATTATTTTTTCATCATTTCTACATTAAAATACCAAATCATCTCAAATCCACCACTTCTGCATTTCGGTCCATAAATCATGACAGATAACTGACTGGAAACGTTTGGAAGGTTCTGCCGGGTCCGTTTTACCTGCAGAACCACCAGGCCGGGCTTCTAAGCTGATATTTCCTTCCAGTTCTGTCTAGAGAGACTCTGAGCATTGACCTTTGACCTCTGCAGTATTCCTTCCAGAGCTGTCCCTCCCTGACATCGCCCAGTGTTGTCATTATGATGCACTGAGCTGCTGAGCTGTGATTGGCTGACTGGGCTAACAGGTGATTGAAGTGATGTGTGTGTGATGTCAATTTAATGCTCGATCAGTCTTCAATGTGGAGCCAATGTGATATTATTTTATTTAACTGGATTTTCTGTTTGTCATCTGAACTCAAACACTTTGTTCTTCTGATGCTGTTGGAAATATTTATTTAGAAAGTTCTCCAGAAACTTTGGGTCCAGCTCAGTTTAAACAATAAAAGGTATTTCAAGTTTACTTTACAAACAGGTGAAATTCAATTGCAGGTGTAGCGAATCCATGCTAGTTTTTATCTGAATACAGCAGCCGTGTTGCTACTGCCCCCTGCTGTGCAGAGGAGCAGAATGGCGAGGATGAGTGAGAAGATGAGGTGAGTGTTGGAAAAGAGAAGGTAGAGAGAAGTGGCAAAGAAGGAGAAGTCCTTATGGACAGAAGCAACATGAGGAGAGCAGGTGGGAGACAGTGAAGACCAAGATGGAAACAGAGACTGGAGGTCAGGAAAGGAAGGGACCACATGACCAGGATGGGGAGACTGAGGGAAGATTAACAGATGGCTTACTATGGACGCTAGTCTTACGGTCTATGGAGTCTGCAAACACTTCTCCGTAGATCATCCAGTACGGCATGTAGAAGATGTTCCTGGCCAGGCGCCATGTGGGTTCCTCATCCGGATGGAGGATGGCCTGCCGAGCCACCCCAAAACTCATCAACACCACCAGCATGATGACTACGAAGTACAGCATGTCAATCATCTGGAGACACGCAGGAGACGGACGACAAAAAGCTTGATAAATTTAAAGCTACAAACTCAAACTTCCGACTTTATTTAGAACTTTGTGATGCTATAGCTCTGTGCTAAAGCTTAGTTCCCTCCAAGAATCCACATCTTCCTGTAATCTCTGAAAGCAGTGTGGATCAACAGCCCTCTGGGGTTTCTGAATGTCTTCTCAGTCCACTGTGTCAGAGCCTTGGTTAAAGATACACATCACATATCGCAGGTTTTTCCACCCTACCATCTTGCCGATCATCATGACGTAGGGGCCCAGGTACTTGTTGACTCCAAAGATGTCAAGGACTCGGATGTACCAGAAGATGATGTCAACACAGTAGATGACTCGTCCATAGCCCATGGAGGGCTCGCCCTGGAGCCGCAGCAGGAGGCCAAGCAGGAAGACGGAGATGGCCACCAGGTCAGTGATGTTCCAGTAGTCCTCCAACCACACACTGATCTTCTGTTTCAGCTTCCCTGGCTCTGACATGAGGATCTAACAGCAGAAAGACTGTCAGGGTTCTCAACCAAAGAAACACAGCAGTCATGATCTCACTGAGAAACCCCTACCTGTCTGACTTTCTCCAGCCCAAGGGTGATGATGTAGGAGATGACTATCCACTCCTGCAGAGAGGGCCAGCGTTCCATCTTCACCAGGATGATGTAGTTATAGAGCATGAGGTACACCAGGTATGAGATCTGAAACAAAGAGTTCATCAGCACAAAGTAATCCAATTCTTCAGTGTAGGTGATTCTGACAGGACATAAGGGTCAAATCTGGGAAAAGAAATTGACCAGAGGAATGAATAACAATCTTCAGACAGTTACAGGCACAAAGTTGTCCACCCATCAGCCATAGTCTCCCTCTAAAACATGACACAAGGCATATTTGGTCCATCCAGTGAGTTTGGCGTCTGGGTTGGGGAGTTCACCAGGGTGTTTGTGAGAATCCAAGTGGTACCCTAGTCAAATCCTTGATGAACCTGATTCCTAGTGAGAAGTAGCTTCACATTACGGTTCCGATCATCTGTCTCAACCCGACAGAAGATTATTTGGAACGTAAACATAAATTCAAAGCTTCCCTGTTCAGTTTGCTCTCTCTACACCAGAACAGATTAGAGTCCTGCCCTCACAACTCTGCTGCGTCCTGCCAAACTTTGGAGCAAGAGAACCAGACACAAGAAGTTCTTGACTTCAGGCAGAGACCCATTACCGGAGGATCGAAGCATTTCATGTTTTTAACGTCAGAGGAGCTGACTCTCCTTTTTGTGCTCTGCTCCTCACTCGACGTTACATCTTAAAGAAACCCAACGGGCCGTGTTGTGGATTCTGCTGCTGCTTCGTGTTTATCTGACTGACATCTAACTTCAGTGGTAAATAAAAAAATAGTTTCAACTTCAAAAGTGATATTCTGAAACCAGAAACAACTCAGTCACTGGATATTTAGTATAACCCAGCTTTCAGTACAATTCTGCAGAATTGCTAACATAATTTCTCCTAGTCTGATTATGCTTTTGTGCCACTACAGTCAACATGAGTCCACGGAAAAAGCCCAGTTTTTTCAGTTACAAACCAGAAACGCACTTCATGTTCTCAAACCTTTGTTGAAAGAGGAAGCTCTCCATATATGAGATAAAAACCACAGAATACAAACTGAATGTTTCTGATTTATGAGAGTCCAGTCAATATCACCAAATATTAATACAAGTTTCTCTCTTGAAGGTGAAGTGAACTTGCCGTGTTAAACCAGAACTTGGTGAAAGGGGCGTTGTAAAACTCGTAGATCTTCCTCCCAATGGGGATCCTCAGGTTCTTCTTCTGGTTCTCTTCTTCATCTCCTTTCTTGGACATTGTGTCAGCACTGGAGGAGGCATCCTGAAAACGATGAGCCGTGACTCAAACTGCTTTGATAATGGCATTAACAACACCTACTCTGCTTGATTTGTACCTTGTTGGATTTATTCTCGTCTTTAGTTTTCCCAGTAGTGTTTTCTTTCCATGAATGGTGAGAAGTTTCATCTCCAAGTCTGAATTCAAGGAGCAGGATGGCGGGGGGGAAAATAATTCCTAAAATCACCTGAGGTCAATTAAAAAAAGACAGAAGGTTAGCAAAACTAAGACTCCTTCTACACAGTGATGAACACAGAAAAAATTGCAAACATCTAAGAAAAATGTGCCTAGCACCACTGAAAAGGCCTGGCTGACCCATTGGCCTGGATCAGCCAGGCCAATGGGTGGCGCTGTAACACTACAAGGGAAAGCCAAAAGCACAGAACAACGCCATATGTTTTATTTGGGAGAGTGAGGCGCAAGCGGAGTAGAGAGATTGCACATTGCCTCACAGAAACATTCACTCTGGGACCTGCGTGGTTTCAAAAATGATCATTTCTGGTCTCAAAACGCCGGATCTGTGAGGACATAGTCTGAACGATGACAAACCGTTAGGATACACCTAACATGGTCTCTGTGAGGACAGGGAATGAGCCATGATGAAGCCTTTATGTGGAAGCACTGCTGGAGTCCCTCAGATTGTTCTTGTTGTTCTACAACTTTTTTGTAGAAGATTAAAATGTTTCTGATTGTTCATGAGACAAACGGACTGGTGTACGTGTTGCTGTTTGTGTTTCCTGTTGTACCTTCAGGCTGTTGCTCTTGCCCATCCTCAGACAGCCCATCCACATGTCGGTCAACAGCATCTGGCTGCAGGTGTGAGCGATGAAGTCTCTGTGTTTGGCAGCTACAGCCAGTTTCAGGCAGGTGGAGTTGCTCCAGTTCTTCAGCTCGTAGGTCAACATCTTCATGGCCAACTGCTCGTCGTGTTTGTATGACTGATCCAGCAGTTCATAGGCCAGCTGACCAAACTCCCTAAACAGAAACACAGCGGCGCCATTTTCATGTTATGTACAACAACGCATTTTTCACAGCATGTTCCTGATAGATCAGCAGACATAAGTCAGCTTGGAGTAGGAGGTGGACCTGAGGGCTCTCCTGAAACACTGGCTTCATTCAGAACCACAGAATCACGACCAGGAACAGAACTTGTGGTCCAAACATGGAACCAGAAATGGACCTGGGCGGTGTGGACTCACTTGGAGTTGTTCTCCAGGTCCTGGTAGATGTCATCCACCAGCTCGCTCTGGGAGGATTCATGGGCCATGGCCTTGTAGAGCTTACAAGCCACCAGAGCTTTGGCCATGGCCTCTTCGCCTCGCTGCCACAGGAACAGCGCCATCTTCTGGCGCTTCATCAGCACAGCCCACACCATGAGCTCATGGAAGGGATACTGGAACCTGCTGACCTCAGGGTCATCCACATCGATGTCCACCTCCTCCTCCTTCTTCTTGTTCTTCTTCCCTTTTCCCTTTGGCCGCGGCTCATCGTCCTACAGACAGAATTCAGAATAGCTGACCGACTCTTCCTCTCCCTCACTCCTTCCCTTTCAGACTGGCAGCGACACATCCTCACCTCCATCCCAAGCAGCTTCAGAGCTTTGGGCTGCAAGACAGAAACATGGAGATGAGCAAACGGATCAGACTGGTCTGGGGTCTGCTGAGGTTCTCCTTCCTCACTCACTCGTTTCAGACCGTACAGGTTGTTGTACAGTGTCCTGAAGTTCTTCCTGGTGTAGTTGCAGCGGTAGGCCCCCCCCATCAGGAACTCCAGAACCAGCCCAATGTCAATCAGAGTTATCTGGTAATCTGGAGGAAGATTTCCCTGAACACACATCAGTGACTTTAGTGAAGAAGGAAATCAATCTGCTGCTCTGCCCTTCTCTTTAGACCAGAGGAACCAGAACCCTAATGGACCTGAAGAACTCTGGGATTACAGCTGGAGTGAGAAGTTTATTCTGATCTAGTTTCCTCCATCTTGGTTCATCTCCACTCTGGTATCGTCTGTCCAGAGGACATGGTCTCTGCTAACCTCAGGCTGGTGGCCATCTTGTTTCTCGAGAGCAGAGGCTTTCAGTGCTATGACCTTTAACCTTTGTCCTGTTAACTGAGGCCTGTAAAATCTGTTAATTTCTCTGAGTTTCATGCTCTGACCTCTGGCAGCTGAAGAGATGTTTTCTTGCTGGTTGGTACCAAGCCTCAAATGGTTTGGAGATGACCTTTGACCTTCCCAGGCTGACAGTAACAGCTGCTTGTGTGAGCTCACTCCTGGAGTTGACTCTGGATGTCACTGCGCAATTAATGTGCGGTCATCATGTCACCAGTAACAGAACTCACCTTCTTCACGTCTCGTACCACAAAGTGCAGCGTGTTCGCAGGACCCAGCTTCTGCAGAAACAAAGACAACTGGAGGTTGACCTTTTCTGGTGATTGTGACCCTGAAGCCTTAATCCCTGAGCTGGACCATCAGCCAGCGAGCAGCGTCTCTAATCTGAGTGGCTGCTGCTGTTTTAAAAGCTTTGCATGTCGTTGGACAGATTAAGGTTAAAACAGCAGAAGAGATAGAGGACAAAACAAAGAGCTTTTGTCCGTGGATTAAATTTGTCTGAATAAAACCTCAATTTGATTCAACAACCGATTTACTGTAAAACTCTGAAAGCTTATCGGGTTTAAGTGCATTAATTACTATCAATAACCTGATCGATAAGCAACATCTGATTTGATTTTGCTCAGTCCCGCTGAGTGTCATCAGCCATGTTCCGCCTCACCGTGTTGTACAGCTCCTCCAGGCGCGGGATCGTCAGGAAGTGATGGATGTTGACGCCGTTTTCAATCAGGAGCTTCACAAAGTCCACCCGGTCCAGAACCAGAGCGTCCATCATGGCCTGTTCCAGGGAGTTCACCTGTCCGACACGAGGCTCCGTCAGACCCTGGACCCGGCTCAGGGTTCTGATGGACCCGACGCCGGGTTCTAGTGGACCCGGCTCTCTCACCCAGCTGAGCAGCTCCAGTTTCCGCGGGTCGGTTTCCTCCGGCGGTTCTGCTTTGGCTTTCCCTCCTTTGCCCTTCTTTCCTCTGGCTTTTCCTTTTCCTGCTGGTTGGCGCTGCGCCGCCGGGCTTCTGGGCCGGTCGGCCGCCGCGGCGCCGGCAGGCTGAGGAACAGAAAAGCTGAGGTCAGAGACGAGGTCACCTGACAGACTGAGGATCGCTGAAGCGCGTACGGGCCAGTGCAGGCCGTAGACGAAGATCTGGCTCCGAGCGATGTCCACGCGGTTCCAGGCCAGGGCCAGGCTCAGCTGGTCGGACGCAGAAGCGTTTGTACCTGAAGACGTGAAGATGGTCAGGTTCGCTGCCTCTGAATGAAGAATACCTGCCGTCTTCATCGCCATGGTTACCTTTGAGCAGGGCTGTGAGGATGGACATCTCAATGTCCTGCTGGCCCTCTGAGCCCATCCTGAACACGGTGATCTGCACAAAGACACAACCAATCAGGGCTCTCCTTCCAGCTGCTCGGTCAGCTTCCTGCAGAGGATCAGAGCAGCTCCATCACCCAGCAGCTGCGGCGCTGCAGGACTGCTGGGAGGAAAGCTCTTTACTTCAAAAGGCCTTGAGCGACTGTCAGAGCTTCATCAGGGTTTCAGCAGCACATTCAGGCATCAAATGTTTCAGAACCTGCTGATCTACTGGGGTTTTAACCCCAACCAGGGGACAGAAGCCTCACCTGGAGCCAGGGCTGTCAGGTAGAACAGCAGTGGCTCCATGCTGAACTTCTAGAACCTGAAGGTTCCCGGATGAAGATCTGCTGATTCTTCTGGAGGATTTCTGATGGACTTTTTAAAGGAGATGTTTGGATTAATGTTGTTCTGAAAGCAAACCTGCCTGTTTGAGCTTCCTGAGCTTTGTGGAGGTCATGTGATCCTGTTAATCTGACAGCAGATCAGTTTAACGAATTGATGCTCTGATTGTTTTACATGCCGGTTGGTCTGCTGCTGCAGCTGTTCGGTGGAAGAAGCGTGGGATTGTGGGATTAAAGAAATGGACAGAACAATCTCAGTTAAGTGCTGCATAAAATGTAAAACCTTCATCATTATGTTAATGTTGCAGTGAATGGGTCAGAACCGGCTCAGATCCAGGACAGTACGGACTCGTCGTCCCGGAGTCACATGGAGCTGTTAGCTGGATGCTAACTGTCAGACGCTTTTCCAGGCTCCCATATTATGCTGCAGCTGCACGGCCGTGCACACTGCGTAGCTTGGGATTTTCCATTTAGAAAAAATTAAATTATATGTTTTTTCCTCCTTTACTATTAATATTGTAGACAAAAAATAAAAACTCTATTTTTTAAAACATTCTATCTTTAGGTCCGGGTGGGCGGGAACATGTCTTTAAAACTTCTTTAGTCAAACCGCCATTTGACAAGGACTCAAACCTTTAAAACATCTTTACATAAAGATAAAAAATGATAAAAACATTAAAAACATCAAAATCATTAGCATGTTGTCTGTCATTGACGTACTCCATTCAGTAAGAAAATCGTTCTGATGCTAAACATTAGCATCAATTCTAAGCAGAGCTAAATTGTAGTCAATAACCTGTGGAGAGTCAGAAGCATGTTTACTAAGCTGTACTTGTACCATTTAGTATGTTAAAATTAATGCAAAAGCTAAAATTAGCAAAAATGCTAATGTTAGCATGAATGCTATCAGTAACATTTGGGGCATTAGAAGCATGTTGTCTGTCACTGATTTACTCCATTCAGTATACGAAACATGGCTAATAGGTAAGAAAAGCGTTCTGATGCTCAACATTAGCATCAATGCTAAGCTGAGCTAAATTGCAGTCAAAAACCTGTGGAGAGTCAGAAACATGATGAATAAACTGTACTTGCACCATTCATTTTCTTAAAATTAATGAATAAGATAAAATGAGCCAAAATGCTCATGTTTGCATGATTGCCAGCAGTAGCATGTGGGACATCACTAGCATGTTGTCTGTCATTGAGTTACTCCATTCAGTGTACTAAACATCGCTAATAAGTAAGAAAATGATCTAAAAGCTTATTTTAGGTGAAATGCTAATGCACTGGCTTGCGCAAGCAAGTGCCATAACCTGAGAGAAAATGCTGAAAAAAAAAAAAAAAAAAAAAAAAAAGACTAATATTATTACACCGCCTACGGTTGTGCACTTACCTGAGAGGATTATTGAGGCTTTTATTTGGAAATTTTTCAGTAAGCTTCATTTGAAATGGCCACACTAATTTCATGTGTAATAGAGATCGTGTCATGTTCCGTGTTTCTGTGTTTATTTTTTGAGTTTCTGTGTAGTCCTGTTCCCTGTGAGTTTGTCTCTGCATCTTCCCGTTGATTGTTTCCCAGGTGTGTCTCATTCCCTTGATTACCCCGTCTGTATTTAAACCCACCTGTTGTCTGTGTTCCTCGTCGGATCCTCGTCGTGTGTCTATGTCATTGTCTATGTCTAACTGTGTCTTACGTCGTTTGGACGTCTTGTGTTCGCTCCAGTTGAACTGCTAAGTCCTGGTTTGCGTTAGCTCTCGTCTCCAAGTCCTGTTTATCAGTTGCTACCGGTATTTGGCTGTGTGCCTGTCTCTCTGCCGTGCTGCCTGTTTTGGACTGTGAGCTCATCATTAAATTCATCATCATCACCGAAACCTGGGTCTCTGCGTCTATCCTCACCACCACCAACCAGACACTTCATGACAGATCGGGTTAAATCAGTTATATGATGCTCAAAGCACAAGTAGTTCAGAATACCAGCCAACTCCTCCTCTATAGTAACAGACAGTTCTGACATGCTGCTCAGGCCTCTTTTAACTGAGTCTTGGCCGTAGATAGAACTACAGTTATGGCTGCTGGTTTGTAGTCCTAAGCGGCTCCTCTGCTCTGTGTTCTGTTGCCATGGTAATTAATCCCCTGTTAAACCAGCCTGTTTCTCACAAAAAAACACTTCGAACAACTCCTTCCTGTTCAGGAACCGTGACACGTATTCGAAAACCGTTTGAAGCATATGAGAGGGCTATTTGTCGTCTCCGATATTCCCACGATTCATATCTCTACCTCACTCACAGTGTTAACAGCGATGAGAGAAAGATGATGTGCGCTGAGGTCTGACATTTTTCAGAAATATATGGAAAAACATGAGTCAGAGGGTGAGTTTGTCAGGGGAGGGGTGTGATCTGTTTTCTGTGTGAACAGGACAAGAAAAAGGGTTTCTGCTGTCAGGAGTATGAATGATGACACAGACAGGGTGATGAGAATGAGATTTATTGTTGCAGCGATAAGGGACTGAACAGGACGATGCAGCCATTAGAGAGATATATGGACACCCTTCTGTCAAATTCTAATCGGAGTTTGATGGATTAAATGATATTAGCCCCCCTTCCTGTGACCGGATGCCAGGACCTCTTTGAATTAGCCAATAGAAACCAAATAATTTACTTGTAAGTGAATAGTGAATAAATAAATATACTATATTCTAAACAATGTTGAAATACACTAGGAATGTTGTAACTACCTCAGGTTTTAAACAGATTGTCTTCTTGATGTGCAGCGTTCAGCAGAGTGACCCCTGACCCCCTGCACACCAAAGAAAACATTTGTGCGTGTGTGTCAGTCCACAATATGAGAAACCCACAGGATACGTCAGGCATTCCTTCAGACAATACCTCTGGAGGATGCTGAAAAGCTTACGGAACAACAGAACAACTATGTCAAGTAACAACACCATGTATCTTTAATCTGTGTAGTAAATACATGCTGCTGCTGTAAGCAGAAAGTAAAATATATTTTGCATTGAATAATATTTTGGATGAGTTTAAGAATGTTTGCCAAAATCGCACAGTGTAACTACCCTTGTCTTTTATATGGGGACGGCTGGAAGCATCTGACCCGCTTCAAACTCAGTACCTGTTTGCTCTACGGCAAAAAAATGTGGTAAGATTAAATTTAGTCGGCTAAAGAAAGTCAGACGGTTCATTACGTGAGAAATCCCTTGAGGTAGTCAAGTTTCTTGTTTGTTCAGATCTTGCTAGTCATTTCCATAGTATGGTTACTAATTAACAGTTGATTCTTTTGTGTCTGGAGGCAATCTAATCATTCAGTTCACAATTGAAGTTTTATTATCAGGATTCTGCAAATTGAATATTTTCATAGTATATTTAAATCATTCTTTTCATACAGCTTAGGTTCCCTGAAAAGGAGATCTATAACTTTGATTCCTTTGAGTATCTTAATATTTTACTAAATCTGACCGATGTGATCTTCTTGAACACATACTGATGCTTCACATTGATCATTTATAAGCTGATCAATTACAAAAGGTGTATGTCTGTTAGTGAACATCATTAGGACCAAGGAACAAAGTTGTAGATAATTTTAAAAGAAACAAAACAATTTCCCATGTTGGAGCAACTCTTGGAGCCTGGTTGTGTTTTGTAAAAAAAACAAAACAAACTTTCAATTTCGGGGAAATCTGAAAGATAAATATGAGCAGCCTGACGAGGCCTGTTTAGTCCCTGTCACATATTCTTAAGAAATAAAATTACAGATGAGGAACTTTTACTGAAATGTATCACACTAGCAGGTGTTACAGAAAAGTATCTATAAGAGTTTAAAATTTAAGCGACTGTTTTCAGAACGGATGAAGGAAATTACAACCTCAGTCAGCACTGACTAGTCGTGATGCCATAAATAATGCAGTAAAACAAATAAACTGTTTTCCTTCAGAGGCATCTACCCGCTCTTATGCAGGGACACACACACAAATGCTTTGGTGTGCAGGGCAGAGGTCAGCCCCGCTTCCCACGCTATAGGTTTTCTTATGTCCTGTTAAAGATCATGATGCAGCACTTATTCTATTGTCCAACACCAAATTACGCACCGCAAGCTTTTCAGCATCCTCCAGAGGTATTGTCTGAAGGAATGCCTGACGTATCCTGTGGGTTTCTCATATTGTGGACTGACACACACGCACAAATGTTTTCTTTGGTGTGCAGGGG